TTAATTCTATGGATACCCTTGTAGAAATGTACATAACTGCGTTAGGGGCGACATTTTTTTGCTAGGGGAGCATATAAAGTGCAAAGAGTTGAAACACTGAAAATAACGTATACTCTTCATATCCGTGGGTTAAAAGCTACACTCTAGAATTAAAGTAAATGTGAAAGGAAAGCACCATGTTTATGTTGGTAAAACGCGCCACTCCACAGGTGTCGTGGTCAAGCAAGCATACGAAGGTAGTGCAGCGTAGAACCGTTTTAAAGGTTGCAGGAAAGTTACTTCCGGTATCCACAAATGGGGAAAATAGTATATTGCTTTCATTAGTCTGTTTTTCTTTCTTTTTTTGGAAAATTAAGTATAAGTTTATTTAATAGTCATGTATTATTATTCTTATTCTCATTATCCTGACAACTTTACTTTTAGCAGCAGCAAATGTTGATAGCAAAGAAACACAGCAGAAGGAACTGGTTGATGCCAGTAAGTATATGAATACTTTACCAGGTAGACAGTACTACGCAAACAACTTTTGAAGTTGAAAGTGCATCATATGTGGTGATATGAACAACATTAAGATAATTAAAAAAGTAGAAATTGTTTGGCTCTTTTTATACCATAAGCTTGGTTAGTTAAATTTTTTCTCTTTCTGAAGTAAAATTGACGTGCGTTTAAGTGAATTAGAGTGTTCTTATCATGAAATTCTCTTACGACCTTAGGTGCTGAAAACGCCGTGTCTCCGGTCCCACTGCCTGAGTCGAGAATCCCAGCCGATGGGACTAGGAGCAGTACAATGTTGACAGATCGTAAGTAGCAAAACATGGGAACACTATAACTTTCTTTCTCTCTTCATTCCTACACACACTGAACTTTGACGAAGCTTGAAAGATTGCACGTATATTCTAAAAAAAAAAAAAAAAAAAAAAAATCAAAAGTTATTATATGAAACTATTATATCTTTGTGATAAACAACAGATATCTAATAAATGTACTTAGATGGACTCCAGTCTGTTAGCCAGAATTAGACGAATGCGAAACGGCAGCTATGAATTTGTTCATTGTATGCCAATTTGCCTCAGAATTCAGCATTATTTTAAGATTAACATATTCCGATGAAAGTTTGTAGTTGTGAACCATTAAATTTATGGATTCTTCCATTTTAAAAAGATATTACAATAGTTGAAAACATTGCAATAGGGAAATCAAAATACAGTATCTGTCTTTCGTTGAGCTGTATCAATTATTTAACAGCATCGTTATTTAAATATCCAGTTGTATCTGAATCAAGAACAGAGGAAACAGAAAGGAAGGAACCTGTGAATGAAGGTAAATCTTTGCCTTGCGTTAACGTTGAAATCCAATTTGCAAAACATTTCTTTTCAGTCATTGTGCTTTATACATGTAGTCAGAATATGTAAAAAAAAATAAAAAATAAATTTTATGATAGAACTTTCGTATTTGCCAAACTAGTATTGATCTGTTACATGCGGCTCTTGGGGTCTGAAATGTGCCTCTACGTATGTCAAATTATTCACCAGTGAATTCCACGTCTGAGATGTAGAAGGGTACCTTTGTTATGGTGAAAAACGTCTTACGTCTCACAGCTGGCAGTTTGAATTAATTTGGTGACACGTGGACATTATTATGTCCAAGGGTGACATTAGTTCGACTACAGACGGATTAACTCTAATACTAGTGCGAATAAGTTTCAAATAAATAAATAAATAAATAAATAATTTATCTTTTCTTTTCCAGGTGATCAACAAATAATGTCACCCCCACGACCACTTACTTTGAATGAAGAAGACGGTGGCAGTGCTAATAACCCAGGCGGTAAGAACAGAGTTTCTATGATAACTATTTTAAGGGCAGATTTTAAAAAACATTTTAAGGTCGTATTGATTAAAAAAAAATAATTTTTTCAAATGTGTCTTTATATTCAGCTGCATCTGAACCAAGAAGAGAAGATATAGAAAGAAAGGAACCTGTGAATGACGGTAAAATCTGACTTATATACAGTCCACTTTGTTTAATTTGATTCTTTTTTCGTTGTGGCATATAATTGGGATGGTTGCAGTCCTTTTAAGGAAAATATTTTAAACCAAAATTCCGACATGCTAAGTAGACATAATATGAATTATCAGCCTTGAACGTTTCTTTTTTATATTTCTCTTTATTCGTTTTTCACTGTTAGGTAGCCTTAATTTGAAATGATTTCCATTGTTTAATTAATTTGGTGACACATGGACACATGTAGCGCATAAACTGTGATGAGTCGCCAATGATTTAAAAAACAACAAACAAACAAAATTGTTAGTGATCGTAACAAATTCTGAGAGATAGCCTGTATTCACCAGTCAGTTTCGCCTGGCGAATTCAACTGACCCAGCCCCTGTCTCCATCAATCTTGGCATCGACAGTTTTTAGCTTGCAGATTTCTCCTCTGAATCTAGCATGCTTGGTAGATACATAAAACGCGATTGCTAGTACTGATGATCTTTCCATCACTGGTTTTTAAAAGTACATGATCCACGAGATCATGCAATTATTGACGGTAAAATGAAGACAAAAGTCTTCTTTCTTAAATGAATATCATCTCTTTATCTAGTTGCACCTGAATCTGCAAAAGAAGGCACAGAAAGAACAGAACCTGTAAATGATGGTAAATATTTGACCAATGTTATAATTTACCAAGGTTATTTTTTTCAGATGACTATACTATAGTATCTATGTGTGTCAAGTTTAAAACAAGAGTAGGTCGACAGAATAGTTTGACTTTGTTCAAGAAGCGCCATTGCCTAGCAAGTTTGCAACAGAATTTCCATTATGTGTCATTTTAAGTTTGCGTACGGGGGGGGGGGGGGGGTGCCAAGAATCTCCTTAACCGACCAAGATACACACGTGGCATATCAATAAAAATATTATTTCAACAACTATTTATTTTAT